AGATTCGTGCTACATAGTACATATATACAGATATTCAGGCTAGTCTTGTAACTTGGGACTCCAGAGAGGTGAAACAAACCATTCTTCCTCAGTATTATGAAAGCTCAAGGCCCTAAACACGGTTAATTTGGGGTTGAAGGGGCTTTTGGACTTTAGAAGAATCAACCATCTAGTGCATTTATCTATAAACAATTATATAATTAGCCAGGCGGTGGTGGCGCATGCCTTTAATCCCAGTACTCGGGGAGGATCTCTGTGAGTTCGAGGCCAGCCTGGTCTACAGAGCAAGATCCAGGACAGGCACCAAAACTACACAGAGAAACCCTGTCTCAAAAAAACAAAAACAAATAAAAACCAATTTCATAATTAATATGGTTTTAGATATAATATCTCACACATAATTTTGCATATGCACTATAATGGACGATAGGGTACCCAGATTTTTGACTGAACTTATTATTTCTGGTTGTGACTTGAGTGTTTCATGATAAATTATTGTTTAAAAGAGCAAATGCAGTAAAGCAGTTCTTCAGCCTTATGTTAATGGACCTTACTCAATCCTGTGAAAACCTGAAGAAACAAAAGGGAAGGAAAAGGGAATGTGCCCCTTCAACATGATTGCTGGAATGGAGACAGAAATCTTTCCTCTCCTCTGACAAAGACTTACACTATTGGGTCCATGGTTCTTATGCCTTTGGCTTTTAGCTGAACCATACCACCAACTTTCCTGGGTCTCCAGTGTGCAGGCTGAAGACTGACTTCTCAGCCTCCTAAAGAGCCAGGTCCTCCTACTAAATATCCATCAGCTATTTCTCTGGAGAATGGCTACTTTCAAAAATTATATATAGGCTGCCATCCATACCTGTCCTATTCTATTTTCACCTTCAAAAGACATTTTCTTACCACCTGCCTCTCAAATACAACTTTGTAACAGTTAGAAACCTTCTTCTGTTTTAAATGTTAAAAACAAATACCACAAAAACTAAAACCAAACAAACAAAACTAGACTCTTCTCCTAGCTCCATGTAACAGGAACTAATTCCTGAGAGGCCCAACTTTTTATTCTTAAGACTTACTATTATTCACTGCCTCTACTTGCTTACCAGCTTACCAATTTGGCTTCTTCTACATCATGCTACAAGACATGTTCACACAAAGTAACTAACCAGCTCCACAGAGGACTGCCATTAAAACTTTGTTAAGGGATGGGAATATAGCTGAGTATTTGAGTAGTTGCCTACCATGTGTAAGGCTCTAAGTTCAATTCCCAGCACTGAAAAAAGAAAATAAATAAATAAAATAAACAAACAAATAAAAAAATTGAAGGTCAGTTTCCAGCATGCAAGTCCAGCAGCTCACAAATGCCTCTGATCTCTGAGGGAATTTGTGCTCATGTATACACACCAACAGTCACACACAATCAAAAATCTTCTGTAACATGCTAGTTAAAAGAAAAGGCATTCCTCTTCATTCATTTTTTTCTTGTAGAACTAGGAATTGAACACAGAGTTTTCCATGGTTGTAGATGCTCTACCACAAGCCACAAGTCTGGTTTAGTCATTTTTATGTATCCCTGAAGACACATTATCCTTATCTATCTCCCTCATCTACAACCACAACACACTTAAAAACCCTCCAGATTTCCTTGTAACACTTTGCTTCCTAAATCTCTGAGCATCTACTCTGTGTTCTTTTATTCATCCAAAACACTGTAGCTAAGATTAAAGTTTGTTCTATCACCTCTATTGCTTTTACTTAGAACCAGGCAGGTAGTTGCAAGATGGCTGTCAATTACCACTGCTTTGAAGCAGTGAAATTAAGCATTGCCAAACTGCTTAGGGGTAAAGCAGCTGCCCTGAAGACAGAGAATAACTGATGACCAAAGGAAACACAGCAATCAGAGATGAAACTTGTGTTTGACTAGGCAGCATGCATTTCTGGGGAGTGCTGTCCATCTAAGCATGAGCTCACAAACTAAGCCCGACACGCATTTCCTAAGCAGGGCTGTTTGGGGGCATTATAGGATGAGCTCTATTCACTTGATGTTAGTTATCATTGTACCCCTGGGTGAGATATCCTAGTGTCACTGGCCTCAGTGAAGAACACTGCTCCCTACCACACAAGTGCTCTAGAGAGACTCCCATTATAGTCAAGTAAGGTGAGAACATCAAACAGGCAATTTCATGCTTCAAAAATGGTGAGAACATCAAACAGGCAATTTCATGCTTCAGACTCCAGACAGAGAAGTAGTGGGGAAAAAGGAAAACATACCCCTCTCATTTTGAAAGGCAATAAGATTTAAAAGGAAAGGGGAGAGTTGTGTCTTTTAAATGGTTACTTTGCACTAGGAAATGAATTGGATGGAGAATATCAGGTAAGCTTCATAAAATAAATAAATATATAAATACATTGAGGTGAGGCTTCAAAAATGAGCAGCATTGAGGACAGTGCTATTGGACGTTGAAGGAGAGGGGAAAAGGAAAAAAAAAACAAATCGAACATCTAAGGCTAGGTCTTTACTTAAATGGCTCCATTTGTTTTCTAGTCTAATAAATTGTAGTAAAAGGACATCCTATGTCCACTGATGTACATAAATGAATACAACATTCTGTTATATCAATCAATACCTAACCTGAACCCCCAAGGCAGCCAAAGATTCAGCCACAAGAAAAGTTATTTTCTATTAAGGCACTGTGTTAACACCTCGAATCCAAAAGCTTAGTGTTATAATAAAACATCACGCTACCCTTGGTAGTTATTCTGTTTTCTAATGTGCGAAAATTTGAGCACTTATATGTACACACACACACACACACACACACACACACACACGGATGTTTAAAAACTTACCATGTAGGTGACTTTATCTTAATTTAATAAAGCAGCTTTGCTTGCTACATTTCTGTTATGGAGTATTAGTTGAAGATGTGTTACATTTGTTTATGCTGTGGATACAAAGATGCGTTGTATTCTTTTATGATGCATTTGTTTACCTCTGTGAAGCTGTGTTACTTTGCCTCTCTGAAATACTTAATTGATCTAATAAAGAGCTGAATGGCCAATAGCTAGGCCAGGAGAGAGGATAGGCTGGGCTAGCAGGAAGAGAGAATAAATAGAAGAAGAAATTTGGGGAAGGGAACAGAGAAGAAAGAGAGAGGACACCAGGGGCCAGTCACCCAGCCACACAACAAACCATAGTGTAAGAAGTAAAGAAAGGTATATAGAATAGAGAAAGATAAAAGCCCAGAGGCAAAAGGCAAACAGGATAATTTGTTAAGAAAAGCTGGCTAGAAACAAGACAAGCTAAAGCGAGGCATTCATAACTAAGAAAAAGTCTCTATTTACTTGGGAGCTGGGTGGCAGGGCCCCAAAGAGCGAAGAGTAAAAACAACAACAAAAACTCACATTTCACTATCACTACCTTAATAGTTGCATGTTTTTTCCTCCAAGAGGAGCTCACATAAGCTGTGGAGTGTTATGAACCTGACTACCCATTTGCAAAATAGGCACAAATGAAATATACTTTAAAGGATTGCTATGAAGTTCAATTAAAGTCCTATGTGACCACTATGTGGGCCACCAGCTATATTACAATAATGTATTCATTGCAGTACTATATAACTATCATATATCAATAGCTCCCAAACTCCCATTTTTTCCCACAAACTTTTAAGGAAATTCATGTGTTTCGAGAAGACAACAGCATTTCTCAAGTATATCTCACATCTAGATGCAAATTACTTGCCATGGTAATAAATAAAAGGGTAAGGTACAAGTAAAAGTGGGAATAATTAGTGTTTTGTTTGGGAAGCCATTAAAAAAAATCCACTAATGTCAATGGCATCTGATATCCAGCAGCTTAACAGTTGAAATCCAATGTTTCATGGGGGGAAACGGGGGAGATAATGACACAAACACAGGAATGAAAGAAACCCAAAACAGTAGATACATCAGATAGGAGATTCTTCAATGATGATACTCTAATTCTTTGAAGATCAGGAAACTCCCAAAGAAACCTGAGTTTAATTTTTACTGTTTATCTAATCAATAAAACTCTTGGATGCAACTTTTCTTTCCAGAAGCCAAAATCTATTGTTAGGTAATACATTTAAAAGATTCTGTTACATTAGGCTGAGCCTTTTCCCCTGAACTACAATAAACTGGAAATGGCCCATTGAAAAATCAGAAGTTGTTTAAGATACAGCATTCAAGAAGCTGAGGTTAAGTGGATCCTGAATTCAAGTCTAAGCTTAGTGAGTTCCAACTCCGCCTGTACTACTTAACCCTGCAAGAAACCAAGCATATGCACGCGTGCATACGCATGCATGCATACACACACACACACACACACACACACACACACAGAAAGCAGCCTCAATGAAACGATTAATTCCAAGAGAAAAAAATAATAATGACGTCTAGATTAAGAAAATGTCAACTCTTATCCAAGAAACCTACCACAGAGAAGGTAGGTGGTTACTTAACTCTGACATAAATAAGAATCTTGAGTGCTAGGATACAACGAAGTGAAACTTCAAGAAAGCCTATCTCCAAACGTTTCCTTGAAAAGCAGCACAAGCTACAGAGTATTTATAAACTACTATACAGCTTTTGGCAATTCATGAGCACATCCCCTTCCTCCCGAAGGTCTCTCTGCACACTAAACATATCTACAGGCCTTGCCCTATCTGCCCGGGTTATCTGCCCAGAAAACACGGACTCAACAGCCACGACCTCCTCTAGGCATAAAATCCTAGGAGAACACAAAGGCCCAAGGGGTTCAACCCATTTTCTTAGAAAGCAGCCTGTTACAGACGTGTGGTTCACTTCGCCAGCATCCCGGCATCAAAGCCCAGCTCTCCAGTGCGGACACACCCGCCACCCACAACCAGGGAGAGGAGGAAAGCTACAAGTTCCGCCAGCTCCACTTGCGTGACCTTGCACGCGTTACCTCGGTGTCTCCCGGCCCGCGAGGAGGCAGGCTGGGGCCCAGCACCCACCTGCACGTTCGGGAAGGCCGTCTTGAGCAGGTAAAACATCTTGCGGTTGGACAGCACGTCGCCGCTGGTCATCTTGTCCTCTGCGCCCTCGCGCGTCTTCCCCTTGGACTTCTCGTGGAGGACGTTGCTCTCGCGGACCCGCCTCACCTCGTCGCCGCCGCGCTCGGCCGCCAGCACCGCCACGGCCAGCATCTCGCGCAGGTCCACCGCGCCCCCGTCGGCTGCCGACTCGGCCGCCCCGCCCGCCGGCTCGCCGCCCAGGCCGAAGAGGCTGAAGCGGCCGGCCAAGAAGCCCGAGTAGAGGTGGTAGAGCACCCCGAGCCCCAGCAGGAAGAACACGGCCACCCCCAGCGGGGACAGGCGGATGCCCATGGGGGCCATGGCGCGCGATGGGCGCTAGGGCCGCCCCAGGCCCGCCGCTGAGTCCGCTACAACGGCG